GTCGCCCTTTTCCGCCTGGGCTCTTGCGAGAAGAGCTTTAATATCTCAGTCATGTTCTCGGTTCACGGACTATTAATTATCCCTACCTAGATGCTCGCTGAACTCATCCCGTGGGTCAGGTCGCTGGATTTGTTGCGAGGATTAGCTTCAATGACACGTAAAAAGCACGTGAAAGAAAGAGAGAGAGAGAGAGAGAGAGAGAGAGACGATTTTTATTTATATCGATATAGCGTTAGCTATATCGATGAAACATTCAAAGAACGCGTATAATATAACGAGGTATAATAAGAAATTGATTTCGCTCTTTATAAAAGCAAAAACAATACTTCCGAGTTTCACGACTACGTCAAAATCAACGACCGTAGCTCTAAGGCCGGATATTTTCAGCTGATCTTTTCTTAAATGCCAAGATATCAATAGCTTCCAATTTATGCGACTTGCATTGTCGCAATAACAGTTTCGCACTTAAATAATTCGTAATCTAAAGTTCACCGGGGTTAGTTTCAAACATTCCAACTTTTACTCAGCCGTATTTACAGAACCTATTACACGTCGCCTCTTTCGATCGATGCATCGTTAAAGCGATACATAGCGACCATTGAGACAGACGTGGAGTCATGGCCGAGTCCACGTCTGTCTTGAACTATGTTTCCATTGTTATCGATAAGGAAAGTACATACAAGTTTTATTACTTTCAAGAATAACTTTCTAACCCGGCGAACTTTGACAATGAATAATTGAAAAACGGAACTTCGCGGGAAGGATTTGCCAATTATGATAATCGTACAAAGAGCACTCGTAATATTCTAGAAGAGAACGAACTTTCCCAGAAGAGAACTCGTATACGAATCTGCGATTCAATGCTACACGCACATTTAACTTTTGTAAAAATTATGTTAATGTGATCCTCTTAGCGTTATCACTTTCACCTGTTTTACTTGTTTAAAAACAAGCAGCCGGCTTTTCGATTACGTCAGAAATCAGGGGAGGCATATAACAGAAACGAACGATACCGAAAGTTTTAGCGGGCGGCCTTCGGTGAGGTCAAGCGAGGCACAGCGGCACACGGTTGGCAGGGTCATCGACACATGCCGATCAGTGGCGTCGGTGTTGGTAAATGTTCTACCGGTTTATATTTATACAAGCCGAAGAGCGACGGTTTCGGGTCACCGCCTCGTTGTCGGCATTGCCGCGCGAATGATGACTCGATTACTCAGGCCGAGCCTCGTCTCTATCGCGATAATCCGGCGGAAGTCGGAGGAACGGCTCGCAGCTGGCGCCCGGAAACGCACGTAGATACACGTCATGCGCGCGCGCGGCTGTGGATATGCACGCTCGAGCCTGTCCTGTCCACCTCTTTTCTTTTTTCTTTCTTTTTTCCTTTTTTTTTTCAGGCGCATCCGCCTGTCTGCCCTCCCCGCGTACGACGAGAAACGAGAATGGCGAGTATATGTATACGCTTGACGTAGTCACGCGAGAGCAGTCGGACAAAGAAAGTCCGACGGCTAGAATCAGCGAGAAAGCGTCGAATGCAGCTGCCACAACGGTCGGGCATTCGCTTCCCCGATGCCGGACGATAGTCTCGTTTCCTTCGAGGATCCTACTGGCCGGCTGAACGTTTTGTCGCGGGGAAACCAACAACACGCGAACAAGCAAATTACGTATCGGTATACCTGAAAACGCCTGCTTCTCGGAAATATTCGAGGGGGACTCGAAACAAAAGGTAAAACGCTTCTCGTAGCGTAGCGATTCGCGTTAATCGTGATGTCGGATCGAAATGTTATATTGGCACGTTTCAGATCATTTCTGTGTCGAGGTTATCGACGAGGCGAACTGAATCGAGCAAAAGAAAGATACGATAAATGTCACGGATTACGGTGGATAATTCATGTCGACGGGGAAAGCGAATCTGGGGTTTTAGATTATTGGCATAACGTAGTCATGACATCGTCACGCTGCTGTTCATTATAATGCGCGTACTCAAAATCGCTCGTGCATGTGGCAGCGCTATTAATAGCGCGCGTAGTCGAGCGGAAAAGTAGCCATGGCAAATAAACTTTTTATCGTCGTTATATATCGCGTTGCAGCCGTCAATTCACCGAGGTGATTATAGAAGATGTAATGCAACGTCAAATCTGTTAAAGCGCCGTTTATCGAGACGCGGATCTACTTTCGATCTGTAGAAATTTGCGCGGATACGTATCGATGCCTGTGCTCTCAAGCATTTTGATAAATGTACCGTTAGATTTTTATTTTTCGATGGAAAAACAGATTACGAACAATTGAGAGAAATTTGTTTCTGTAAAGTTGAACGCGTATCTATCATCTGATCTGAAAACTATTTGTTGATATTAAAACTTATTGATTTCTTTTTATACATTTCTCTTCTAGCTACCAATGTTCAGTTTTCCTTAGTGAGGTAATTAAATATTGTATTTTACTCATAAGAAATCCGTTTCATTACTTCTTTTTCACTATTCCTTATAATTTGAAGGAACACAATCTTACAGAAAAAGATCTCTGCCAATTCTTTGTGCAATTTCTTTTACCTTGCGAAACTTTATGAAGTTACACTTCATAAAAAACATTGATTACGAAAAGTTGCAACGTAGAAACGTAGATTAGAAATATTTCGTTTGAACGTGGAAGGATGATAAAAAAGAAAAAAAAAGCACGACTCACCGCAGCATTCTTTCGTGGCGCTCTCTTTCAAGCAGCTCCTCCGGACTGGATGGTTGTGGGCCTAAGAGCGTGTGGGAGAGCGGCGGGTAGGCGGTCCTGGACTGCCTCCAGAGCATCTCGGCAGCGTGGTGGCTCGGAGGAGCCGGACTGTGATAGCCGACCGGCGGCGCCGTGGCCGCGGCGTTAGCGCCGGCGTTGGGCGCGCCCTGGGACGGATGCGCCATCAATAGGGACGTGTGCTGGACGCTCTGCACGTGCCAGATCCTGGCCGGGGCAGCGGCGGCGGCAGCGACAGCGGTCGGGGCCAGCGGCGTCGAGGAGGACGTCGTCTCCTCGACGCTGAGCGCCGAGCTCCTGCTGCCGCTCCTCTCGTCGCCGGAACTGGCGCTCTTCAGCGAGCTTACCCCGCTGTCGGAGCCGCTGTCGCCGTAAGCAGCAACACCGGCGGCGCCGCTGCTGCCTCCCGACGACCGTATACCACCGACCGCCGTAGGCACACCGACGAGTACGCCCGTTCCAGGTATACCGGCCCCGGCCTCCACTTCCATGAGGCCGGCCTCATCGCCACCCCTCGATGTGTGAGACTGCTGTTGCACCTCGAGGAGGCTCGACGGGGTCAGGCGAGCGGTGGAATGGTGATGATGTTGATGCGGGCTGCTCGCTAGCTGATAATGATGATGTTGCGACGGTGGCTGTTGCTGCTGGTGCTGCTGCTGCTGCTGGTGCTGCTGCTGTTGCTGCTGCTGCTGCTGTTGCTGCTGCTGTTGCTGTTGCTGCTGGTGATGGTGATGGATCACCGGACTATTGGCGGAATAACGCTGCTGGTGATGCTGTTGATGATGATGATGATGGAACTGTTGTTGCTGATGATGCGGCTGGTGGTAAGATTGTATATGAGGATGATGATGGTGACCGGCGATCGGCGGTGGCGGCTTGTTCAGTCTCTCGGCAAGGATGATCGGGCTCTCGTTGTGCCGATTGCGCTCCTGCTCCCGCTGCTGTTCCAGGAGCAGGCTGCTCTGCCTGCCGGGGCCGCCGCCGCCGCTGCTACTAAACGGACTCAGCCTCTCCAGCACGGAGCCTGAGTCCTGACTGCTCGACTCCAGCAGCTCGACGACCGATTCGACGCTGGCCGCCCTAACGCCACTGACGCTACCCACGCTATCCTCCGTGCCTAACTCGGTGGTAGTCAGCTCTGTGCGTCGTGATCGCTGCGAGCTCACCTCTTCTTCACTGGCGTTTTCGTCGCGATCGTCTTCTGCCGCTGCCGCTGCCGCCGCCGCCGCCGCCGCCGCCGCCGCTACGTGATCTCTGGTTTCTTCCGCAAAACCTTTTGTCTTTGATCGAGTCGACTTCAGCACAGACGGACTGCCCTCGCGGATGGCATTCGTCTTATCGCTGACCAGCGGCGAATCGACGTGCAATCCATTCACGAGTAACTGCGGTGGGTGCTGCTGTTGCTGCTGCTGCTGCTGCTGCTGTCGTTGCTGTTCCTTATTCTCGCCGACCTTATCTGCGTCCCAATCGGTCGCACGAGCGTCCTTTCTTGATTCTGATTTGTTATCTGGTTGTCGCTGCTCCTCCTTGGAAGCCGGATCGCCTCCGGGATCGACTTTGTCCGGAGGTGGTGGCTCAGGTTCTCTATCCCTCTCCCTGGACTGGCTCTCCTCGTCCTCTTCAAGTTTACCGACCTCCCGTTCGGCCCCGTCGTGTTTTTCCGCCCCCGCTTCCTCCTCGACGTCGTCCTCGTCGTCGTCTTCCTCCTCGTCCTCTCCCTCCGCTTCCACCACCGTTCCTCTCGCGGCCCGATCCGCTGCAGCTTCCTCAGTGTTTTTGCTCTTACTACTCTCCGATCTGAGCTTTCTGCCGACGGGGCTTGTTCTTAGCCGCTTAGTCAGTGGATCGCAGCGTTCCGGGCTCCCTTCATCCTCTCCCTCGAGACGCTCTTCCTCCTCTTCCTCTTCCTCCTCCTCTTCTTCCGATCTGTTACCGAGGCGTTCGTCCTTGTCGGCTCTCGCTCCGGTACGATGATGATGCTCGACGGACTCTCCCTCTGCGCCTGTCTTGACTTCTTGGCCGCCTCCTGGCCTCGGTCTTCTTCGTGCCGGTCTCTGATGCTGTGCCGGCCCCTGCTCGGCGGTCGGGCTCTTTACCGCGGCGCCACGTCTTCGTAGTTTCGTAGCACTACCCGATGCACTGTTTGCTTCTTCCAACACCGGCCGCGCAACACGATTGCTTACCTTGCTGGACGGCGGACTTTTATTTTCGCGATCCTCTTGCTGCCGTGTGGATTCCGCCGAATCTTTTTCGTTTTTCTCGCGACTGGCACCTTCGCTCACGCGTCGGCGTCGATTGTTACGGGCATTGTTCTTCTCTGAAACAAGAAAGTTACCGATGGTAAATGTACGATGCATGAAATGCACATGCTGGAAAGTAAAATTGATACTGTAGCTAACTTGGAATCGAGTGCAGTTAATTTTAACGTTACAGTACCTATTTTCCGTATCTATATCGCAGGACTATATAATGTGTGCGGGAAAAGATAGCAAATCGTTAACTAGGTCTTGGAATTAAATAACTTTAGTATATGCTCCAATTTCATGATATTACGATATTACATAGTACTGTACGCGGAATATGTAATCATGTATTTTACTGTAAATTAGTACTTTATAGCACTGTGTATGATTTCATATTCAGCTGTATATAACTGAACGAGAAATGCCTTTTAATTTGAAGTTGTTTTTAAGAGACGGTAACGTTAAACCTTTCCCCCATAATGCAACAAACTCCTATAAAAACTCCTCTAAAGATCAATCAGAACATCAATTCAGAACCTCTTCATTCATAGTTCTCTTTTTGTTGATCTGCATTCCAGAATCTTTGGATGACACGCCGGTAAGTACACGTCTAATAATATCACGCGACGGAAACTGATTACATGTAAAGAACATCACAAGCTAGCAACCGAGTCGCACAGCCGTTAATTATTAAAATTATCGTCGTCGACGGTACGACGGTAGATTATCGCGCGCTCGATACGCTTGTATACGAAGGTTATCTCGATACCCTTGATCGGACTGCATAATTGTGGCGGGCGATCGATCGATCCCTACAGCTGTCCGGTACATCGACTGTTCACCGTCCGGAGAGATTATGGAGCTGATTTACCGAGGTAATCCCTTTGATGTGCACAGTCAGTGATTCGCATAACTCGGTAACCCTAGGACGCTATATAAAGCAACCTCCCTACCAACTCTCTTCTTCCACCCTCACTTGATATATTCGCACAGTTCAATATATTAATTATCATGTATTCTCTTCAGAAGGGAATATTGTTTATCTTTCAAATTTCAAGCGGAATTGCAAGTTACAAAGAAACTTTTGACACTGAACTGACGCAAGTCAGTCTTTGACACATTATTACTATCGTACAAATGGAAAAACGAACCGACGTGTGAAACTGAAAAAAAAAAAAGAGACGATGCTACAAACAACTTAAATATTTTTCTTCAAACATACGCGAAACAAAAAAAATTCTTACTCATAATAATTAATGATACTTCACGGATTATTTTCGAAGTCAAGTTAAGTACTACTTTGAATCTGATACTAAAGTATAAATCACGATAACAAATGTAATACCATTATCCTCTGCTCAATTGGCCGCTATCCAAACGCTGATAGCATCGGCGTAATAATGGCTATAATAACTGGGTATTAGCTAAAGGATTGTTATTGGTTCAATATTAAATCTTCTTAATTTATTAGACTAAATCGCTGCTCGTGCAATCGTACGTCGTTCCAATCGTAAGTGTTCCTCGACGACACGGCAGTACGTTATCAATCGCAGTTGTGAATTTTGTCTACTGACCTCGATAGAGAGAGAGAGAGAGACGTACTTTGTACGTGAATCAACAACGACGAATCACTTCAACCGAGGAATTGCGCGGTAGTAGGTACGTCGCACGTTCAACTGGGTTTCCGGTTCCCGTCGCGTTAGTGCGAGTTCAAGGGAGTTCAAGGGGGTCTTCGATTAACCCGGTAGGTGCATGGCCGTAGCATGGGAGCAATTTACAACAATGCACGTCATACACGTATACCCCATCCCGAGGAGGAGCGAGCGGATAGAAATTGCATGCCCTTCTCTTCGCGCGTATATACGTGCACGCTCGCGTGAAGGAGAAACTGGTTGGGAAAACGAACGGAGAGAGGGATGAACAGGTGAAGAGGAGGAGGCCACGCACAGGCATCCATACGCACAGGCATGTTACACCCACTGCGCGAGCCCGAGCAGATAGAAGGACAAAGGGGAGGGGGGGGAGGGGGAGGTAGGGAAGGAAGACACGGCGCGGCGGAGGGATTTATTACTCGGGATTTACTGTTATTACCCGGAGGGGGAGGACCTCTCCACAACGGGCAATAGCGATGCCTCCGGCGTGGGGTGTGTTTATCCGATATGTGCAGTTCGTGCACGCGCGCGCGCGCGCGCACACACACACATACTTGTATTGTGTGTACACGGAGATATATACGGATACGAGGCGCGTCGTTGGGACGAGCCGACATCCGTGCATCCCGTCTCCTAGCGATCTGCGGTTTGTCGTGCGTTCTACCGTTGCACGCATGCATTACGTTGCGCGTAATTGAACGGTGATCCTGTACTTTGTTTCGCACTGTGTCGTTACTCACACGCGTGACGTCGCTCGTACAGCCGTCACTTTCGGGCCGAGACGTGATTATCGGACGTCTATATCGAGATACGTGACGAGAAAATGGCTTTTCATTGTTGATAAGTGTTACGTAGCTGTCCAATGAGACCAAAGTCTCGTAATAAACTACAAAAGATGATAATAATAATTCATGCGAATGACATGGAAAAGAATGCATTACGTTGCGCGAAAGAATTGAGAACAATTTTCTAAATACGTTTTCTCCATGATTAGATAACTGATACTTTTGTTGTAAAAGCGTCTTTAATTAGCAAGTTATTTATTAAAAATATTATTTTCTCGGAAAAATGTCCTTTTCCAAGGAAATCTTTTTAATAATTCACTAGGATGAATGATGAAAAGTGGGATAACCTTGATAATATATGAAATTTTAATGGAAAAGTAAAAGGAGCCCTCCAAAAAGTTTGTGAATATCCTAATATTAATATTGAAAAAGGTCGAAGATTCCGTGGCTGGTGGCGAGTTCTTGTCAAAGTGAAAAGTACTTAAAAAAATATAGATCGGAGGATTTTATTCAGCCCAGGCGTGAATTTTTATTTATACGGTACTTTCATCTCTCGGCCAAAAGTCCGTTTTTATCTTTTTTTTTCTTTTCGTAATACAAATATTTACGTAATGGATCCGGATTTCATATTTAAGTATGATAACGTTCGAGAGAGCGGCAAAAAAGTTCATGTTATCTTATAATTCTCAGAGGATGCGATAACCAGGTTATTAACATGCAATTATCGCTTCGTAAAAACATTGCGAGATTGTATTATATGAGATGAATGATATTGTTTGCGTGTTCTTATGACAGATTAGATATTTATATCTAACGAGAAAAACACTTTAGTATCCGTAGTAAATGTGAAGTATAATATTAGTTATTGGACTGTTATCCCATAGCGCGTTGCTTACGTAAGGCCTGTACGTGCGGTTTATTTGCATGTAAATTCTTATCGTCGTGTGTGTACGGAGCATGACAAATTGCTTTCGTCCTCTGAAATAAGTACGATAAAATAAAGCGAGTACGCTACCACAAGTGATCACTGATAGAAAACCAAAAGATTTATAATAGTAACGGTCGTTAAGTGATTCCACCAATGTAAGGTGGTTAACTTTAATCTGATGAGTTGAACTTTAAGAATTAGAAAAAGATAAAGAGTAAATTGAACAGAGATTAAAGTTAATTTTTTCAAACCGAGTTAAAACCGAGCTAGGAGAACCGTAGGACGAAATGAATAAAAATAAAAAATTAAACAAATAATTTTACATTTAATCAAATTCCTTCCAAGATATTCTGTTATTTTACGATTCGATATGATAATCATTTTATATCTAAATACTCATCATTAAGAAATCGCATCAATCCGCACATCGATTATTTTTTTTGCAAGACAATCTCGAATCTCCACGAACGAAAATTCTTTTCACGACCTTGCATCTCGCTTGGCAGCGCGGAAAGCGGAGAGAGCTTTAAAAGCGCATGACCCTTCAAAAGGGGCTAGGTCGTGAAAAACAATTCCTACGCCAACGCTCTTTGTCACGAGGGGGCAACGGTGCATCCCCACAGTTTGAGATATCGTCGGCTTGCCCCGGAGTTGCAGGGGTGCGGGGAATTAGATATGCTTGGGCGGTCTCGCCAGGCATTTAAACCCTTTGTCAAAATCAACGCTCCATGCAGACAAGCGGGCAAGCAGGTAGCCCTTCAAACTCTCTCCCTCCCTGTCTCTCCCTGTGGCTAACAAAACATCACCCTCCTACCTCCGACTCTACCGCCCGTTCCCTCATACGTCTACTATCGACCGCGTCATGCTGAATCCGCATTCTGCACGCGCCATTAGTTTCAACGCGAGTATCAGTCACTGCCATCCGCTCGCTCTATTACTTCTCTTAAAACTTTACATACAAAAGTTCGAGAGAGCGAGAGAGAGAGAGAGAGAGAGAGAGAGAGAGAGAGAGAGAGAGAGAAAGAAAAAGAGAGAAAAGTATGCTACGTGGAAATTGAGAGAGTCAGATTAACGATTAATAATTTCAAGTAATTGTCATTATGTATATTGTACACACAGTTTCGTTTGCAAAAATTAAATTTTAGAAATATAAATGCCAACGTCCTATTCGTTTAATTTTGAATTTGCTCTAACGTTGGATAAAGCACGCGGGAAACCTAGAACACCGTGCACTATTCAAACACACTTGGAAACATTTGTGATCCTAGAGACAGTTAATAAAAACAGAGCGTGTACTCGCGCTGCAGTATCTATCAATTAAGTATTTAATTCGATAAGTTCCATTCGATCCATTATTCATTTGCTTTTTTATTCGTAATACGTTCTCACTGAGTTGGTTCATTTGAATTTATTCACTAACGATTCGTCAAATTTCCTACACGGTACTCGGATCTCGGATGTTAAGCGCGCTTAACGTTCCGTGTCTCATTCAAGCAATAACGCGCACGAGTTTTATATGAATAATAGATTTGGAATTAGATAGTTGCATTAAGCACTAAATGCGCAGCATAAATAAACGATAATAAATATACG